TATAAATATTTAGTAAAATTAAAGTAGTATATTCGTCACCAAGCAGTTACTAGACGTTAAGACAATCGTGATCGATTTCATAATGAAAAAGCTACGATAAATTTACTATTATGTAACAATATTATTACGAGTTATTTATATTATTGTAAAAACATAACAGAAATTACTATGCAATTAATACACAGCAGTTACGGCAACCTAACTGCTTTATAATGATTTTATAAAGATATCATAATTTACTTTATTTATAACTAATTATTTTATTTACTTTAATGATTTCACGACTATATTCCTTATAATAATCCCAATTATCTATAATATATTATCCTGCTCACTCAAACCCAAGTCTTTGACCAATGCTCAGTTTGAATTCCATCATATGCCATCCCATTTGCTCAAGCTCAGATCTTCAACCAACATCCCATTATACGTTCCAGTTAGTATTAATGAGAAAAAAAATGAACAGAATACTTATCACATGTCACTGGTTTGCTCAAATCTTAGATAGCGTTCCCACAAAAAATTGTTCACCCCTGTAATTTTGACCAAACAAAATTTAAGATCAGGTGTAAAGTAATAGTCATGTTTTGTTTGTTTTCTAGGTAAAAAATTACGTGTAAAATTGAATCTAAGAAAACCGTGTTATATTTAGGATTATGATTAGAACAATGTGACGACTATTAGCAGGATTTCACAAGAAACATTTTTAGTTAGACCTCAGAAGATGATTTCCAGAGCTATTCCTGTTTTTTTTGTAAAAAAGTGGGTTCGTTTCGATTTGCCAAAATTACGGGGGCGAACAATTTTTGGTGGGAGAGCAAGGGCGTTTTTGCTCAAGCCTAGGTTTTCAACCAACGTTCGTTTCGTGTTTCAACAAAATTCAAAATAACAAAAAAAGTGTTAATATTAACGAGAAGAAAAATTAAAAAAAAAAGAAGAAAAAGATACTTATAACAATCCCCATTCTCTCAAGCCTAAGTTTTCAACCAACGTTTAATTTGCGTTAAGCAAAGTTCAAACCTACCCAAAAGAAAGTGTTGGTATT